CCTCTCCATTTTCTGTGATTATAGACTACAGTATCCAATCTAGTTGTTGTTGTTGTTGTTGCTCTTTTGTTTTTATTTTTTTCTTGTTTTTGTTTTGTTTTTTGCTGTTGCTGTTTTGCTGTTTAAAGCTCACCCTTCCACCTTTGGGGGACTCTTTCTCTCCCTATATTACCCAAAAAGAAACAGTAACTGCTGCCATATAGTCAAGCTACAATCACACTCTATAAAACACCAAAATCCAGGCAAGAACCATGACCAACTGCCATACACCAGAGAGGCAGATAACACCTATGAAAGTTACTCTGAGTTAATCAATAAGAAAATGAAAAGGGAAGCCCACATCCTGCTCACATCTCGCTGGAGGCAATCAGAAAGCATACAAAATAACAAAACACATACTCAACTAAGAATTAAGACCACAGATAAACACTAAACATGTCCAAAAAGCAAAAGCAGATGACCATATCAGTACATGTCCAAAAACAAGATAAAATGTCTGAGACAAATGACCTAGAGGTAGACATGGATTACATTCTGGATGGAGAGCAGGCTTTGGAAATGCCTGAGAAGGAATTCAGAAAAATATTTATAAAATGTTTCAAAACACTTTACAATGGATTTGAGAAAAAAATGAAGAAGTCAGGAAAGTGTTACAGGAATAATCAAATAAGACAGATACCGCATTGGAAACAATTAAAAAACTACAGAAAGAGGCCAAACGATCAATAATAGAATATCAGAAATAGACAATGCCCTGAAAGGGCAAAGGAATAGAATAGAAGAGACGGAAGGCAGAACCAGTGACCTGGAAGACAAATCTCTCAATACCACTAAGACAGAAGACCAAACAGAAAAAAGGATAAAAAAATCTGAAGAAGGTCTAAGGTTCACGTTGAAAGACATGAAGAGAAATAACTTAAGAATCATCAGCATTCCAGAACAAGAAGAATCACACAAGTCCACAGAGGAAATAGTTGAAGAACTGCTGGAAGAAAATTTCTCCAACATCCTGAAAAATAAAAAGATAAACATTCAAGCTCAACGAACCCCAGGAAGGATAGACCCCAAAAGAAAATCACTGAGACATATCATAATAAAGCTCTCCAAAATCAAAGATAAGGAGATATTCCTGAAAGCAGCTAGGGAAAAAAGGAGTGTTACATACAAAGGCAAGCAAGTCAGATTAAGATCGGATCGCTCAGCAGAAGCCATGCAAACAAGAAGGCAATGAGGAAACTTATATAAAACCCTGAAAGAAACAAACTGACAATGAAGAATCCTTTATCCAGCAAAGCTATCAGTCAAATACGACAGTGTAATCAAAACGAAAAAATTCCAGGACAAATTTCTGCTATCCTATGCTATGTGTTTTTTTTATCAAGAAGGAAAAATTCTTAAAATGATAAAGGGCATTTCTGAAAAGGTTAACATTAATAGGAAATTCAGTGGTGAAAGATGACAAGTTTTCTCCCTAAACTCAGAACAAGACAAGCATGTCCACTCTTTGTCACTGCTATGCACCGTGTCTCTTGCTATGGCACTGCATGATCATCACTGGACACGAACCATGAGGTCAGCAGTTCAAACCCACCACCTGCTCATTGGAAACCCTATACAGGGTTGCTATGAGTCAGAACCAACTAGGCAGCACTTAACAACAATAATGTCATTCAACAGTATACCAGAAGTTCCAGACAGGATATTTAGGAAAGAAAAATACACAAAAGCATAGAAATTGGAAGATATAAAACTGTGTATGTTTAAATGGTTAATTTTGTTTTGTGAATTTTACCCCAAATGAAAAAAAAAAAAATCACAAAATAACATATCAAAAAAATACCTATGAAATTCTAATATTCAAATTGACATTTTACTATTTTAGCAGATAGTCTACAAATATTAAAAAAAAAAAAAGAGAGAGAGAGAGATTTACCAGATATATCTGCTCCTGCAAAGATTTTTAAAAGCCTCAGAAACCAGGTATGAGTTGTAACCAACTTGACAGAACTTAATAACAACAACAATATGCTTATACATGTATATGCACAGTCTGAAAAAGGCATATACAAAAAACTGGTTAATTCTGAGAAGTAGACTAAGGAACTGTGAAAGGAAGGAGACTTGCTTTTTTACTCTATTACCCTAACAAAATTGATTTTTACTAAGTACACATGTTGTTGTTGTTGTTGTTGTTAAGTGCCGTCGAGTCGGTTCTGACCCATAGCGACCTTATATAGGGTTTCCGAGGTGCAACTGATGAGATTGAACTGCAAACCTTACAGTTCAAATGGCTTTGCAGTCTGGTGCATTAATCCACACTGCTTCACCAGGACTCACAGTACCTATTCAAACACTATACAATTACTTAAAGTAAACTCCAGAATCAAATAACTTCTCTTCCTTTGAGCTATAAAGAGAATAATCCAAAACAGACACATCATTCTAACCTTCAGGACTGCTCTCTGGTGCATAGGTCTGCTGCATTTCTTTTGGTTTAGAAGGTTTATTTTTCTTTTTCAGTATCTCCAAGCTTTCTAATGCTGTACTGTGTTCAGACAGAGATCTTATAAGGGAAATGTTATTTACTAATCGAGAAAGTCCTGAAGAATTTCCAGTATTTTTCCAATATTGTCTGCAATCTGCAGAAGTTTCTATTTCAATGTGTTCTTGGGGTAAACTTCCAATCTCTCCCAAATCTTCAGATTCAGGATTATGTACTTCTGATTCTTTAGAAAGTTTCCTTCCCAAAGGATAAAATGAAGAACTGGAAACTTGTGTACTCGATTCACCAAGTGCAACAAATTCAGAATGATTCTGATTGGTGTTTAATGGATGAACACTGTTGTCATTGCTCGAGGTTGATGAGAAAACCTGTTCATCGTTTTTGCTCAAGTCACTTTCCAAAATAAAAGGATGAGGCTGAGTGTCTTCTGAAAACAGGCTATTGTTTTCAGGAGTCTGATTAGGGACCCTGCTTAAAGATGGATGAATAGGTAAATTAGTTTTTATGCCTTTAGATTTATTGGGGAGTGAAGCAAAATCATAATTAGTTTTAAGTTTTTGAATATATTTATTAGAATCCTCATTACTATCTACACATATCTTATCAGTCCACTCTAAAGATGAGTCAAAATCATTTAATGTGTCATTATACTCCTCCTCTAGTTCTGTTCCAGTGTTTTCAGCTTTACAAGGTCCCATGTCAAAATCCACAGATGTTCCAGTACTAAGCAGTGATGACTGAGTCTCTGTCAAAGGTAACGACTCTATAGGTCTGCCACCAGTAGACATTAAGAGAGGCAAATGTTCACTACCAATTTCTGTATAGCTTATATCCTCACATCTCTTTTGAACACATGAGTTGCCATTATTAACCAAAATTTCCTTATACTCTGAATCCTGGGAAATTTTGCTGCTTTTCTGTGATTCCTCTTCAGTGTCACTCATCTCAAAATTGCTTAGATTAAAAGTTATTTCTAAAAATGGCTGTGTCACAGTAGTCATGGGTTCATTAATACTATTAATTCCTTCATTATTAGCACTACTTTTAGAAGATATGTCTATACTCTCACCAGAGATGCTAAAACTATTACTTGGAGAAAATTCAGTTTGCAGATGCTTCCCTTCTGGCAAAGACACTGGTTGCTTATACTCTTTTGGAGGTCTTCCACAGATATTTACCTCCAGAGCATTTTCTCTAATGGGAACTGGTCCTTTTATGCAAACTTGGTCATTGTGATTTAAAGATATTTTACTGTCTCCTTGAACATCAGGTACTGATAATAAGCCATCATTTTCTGCATTGCTATAAGTAACCGGTAAACAGATGCTTCCAGATGAGGAAGGAATTTCAAAATTTATTTCTGAATCCCAAGAAGCTGGATTATCTACTTGCTTGTCTTCACTGTACTTTTCCCCCATTTCAGCATATGTTTCACAGAACTGTGCTTTTGTTTGTACCAAAAGGTCTTTCATATTTGAGTTTCTATCATCTCCTTGGGCCTCGGGTTTCCTTTCTATATCATTTCCATCAATATCAGAAGAAAGTATAGGTGAACTCTGTGAAGATAGATACATGGCCCATCGGCTTTTATTTCTCATGGTATTTTCTGGTCGATGCTGGTAGCAAACAGTTTCTGTACTCTTTACCTCAGCACACCTTTCTTGTTCAGTTAAGCACTTTTGTTTACTAGGAAGTTTTATATTTTCTTGTGGATGCATCTGTGAGAAATGTTCTGTAATCTCAGAATTTAGTTCTTTACCTGTACTGATTGATTTGGACTTCAGAAGAGCTAATATCTGTGCTTTGCTCCTGATGTTCTGAGAAATTCCTAAACAGTGAGATGTCAAATTATTTCTTTTCATGGACTTACTGGTCAGTAAAGAGTCTGAGTGATTACTGACAGAGCTGATAGAAGAGCAAAAGTCATTTTCTCCACATAGCACTTCTGGGTTAATCTTGAAAGATGAAGTAGAGGCAAGTGAAGAAGGCATGTCACTTTTCTCTCTGTTCTTGTAAATGATAATATTCTCTGGGTCTGTTGGGACATTTTCTACATCTTTCTTGCAAGCAGCAGAAAACAAAGGAGATGTGCTGTACAATGGAGGAAGAAAAGTTGGATCAAGTTTCTTAACCTCAAGTGGTGCAGCAAGTTGACAATTTTCTGTAGTAGTCATTTTCTTTGACACTTGACGTGGCCCTTGAAAGCCCTAAAAATATTGAAACAATTAAGACAATTATCTATTAATAGGTAAGTCTCAGTATCCATACAGAGAGTGTTTAAAGAACTGGCAAAATAAACAAAAAGAATGTGCAGGCTTTGCCTAAGGTAAAGTAATAATTAAGATTTAAGTATACTAAAATAAAATGCAAATTTTCATTTCTATTAGGATTTTTAATTAACACTTATTGCCTACATTTAACCATGAAATACAATTTTAATGATAGTGTATTTGAAGTGATAATGAATCACTTCAAAATTCATTGCTTCTTAAACTGATTTTATAAATATATGTTGATGTATTATATTCAAGAAGAACTTACAAGAAACTTCCTTTTTAAACCAGCAGGCTGACATCCAAGGGACCGGCCAGACGAGATTAACCTTGAATTGAACACCGATGATTCTTTAATGACATCCTTCTTCAGAGCTATGCTTCCAGCTACTTTAACCTCCTCAACTGTGATTAAGTATCGATCACTTTCTAAGTCATCTCCAGGTTTCACCTATATTTTATAGAATAAATGCCAAAATTATATACATGCAAATATTTTGGCTATCTATAAGGAGCTCTGGTAGCGTAGTGGTTACGAATCGGGCTGCGAACCTTAAGGTCAGCGGTTCGAAACTAACAGCCGCTCCGCGGGAGAAAGATGAGGCTTTCTACTCCCGTAAAGATTTACACCCTCAGAAACCCTGTACAGGGTCGCTATGGGAGCTCTGGTAGCGTAGTGGTTACGAATCGGGCTGTGAACCGGAAGGTCAGCAGTTCGAAACTACCAGCTGCTCCGCGGGAAAAAGATGAGGCGATCTGCTCCCGTAAAGATTTACAGCCTCGGAAACCCTATTCAGGGTCGCTATGGGTCGAAACCGACTCGACGGCACTTAACAACAACAACATAAGCCCAAGTAAACTCACCATACTAACATTGAAAAAGGCACGATGGATATTCAATAATTAGTTGCTGAATGAATGAACCAATTACTTAATTTGTTATTAAATATTGTTTACCAATATTTACCAACAAACATAAAAACAATAATACAAATGATGACACAACAAAAAGAATCCGCTAATTTGTTCATTAAGCAATACAAATTAGGGGTCTATGTGAGGCCCTTTGTTACATGCTGGGGGTACAAAGGCAAGTAAGAAAGAAATGCCTTTTCTCAGGAGTTCACTCAGACTCCATTCAACTAAATGTAATCTTTTTTTTAAATAAATGAAAGCTATTAAATTATTCCAGTTATTTAAACAATCATATTTAAAGAAGCATCTTAATCTCTTTAATTAGTAAAATATAACCTGATTGTAGCATAAATATAAAATTATCAACCTATCTTGAAAAATAAAAAAAATCTGTATCAGATTAACATTTTTACTAATGAAATAGCTAACAAGAATGAAATAATTGCAATAGTAGTCTGCACAAATTAAACACCAACAAAGACAGTCCCTCTCCTAGACAATCTTTTGATAACTGCAATAAAGACCACATCCATTCCTAGTGTCATGTAAATTTTTAAATGAATTGAATACAATATACAAAAATCAACACAATGATAACAAGAATATGCATTTTAACACTTTTAGAATCATTGTACTAAATTGCTAGATAGATTACATAAGTTATTTCTGATCTTTAGATGGATCCACATAAAAAGACTGTATATTTTCCACATCGTAAAGTATGGAAGTAAGACAGAGAGGTCAAACTAGGAAGTATCTGAGGTTGGGAAGCGAAGCTAGGCCCTACAAACTCTAATATTCTTATTCTTTACACTAAAATAAGCCTTTAGTTTCCTTCCTTCCACGCCCCTCCCTTACTCCCAGTATGACCCAAAAAGAATAAAAAAATTGAGAAAAGATTTAACCAGTTGTTGGTGCTGTTGTTAAATGCCTTCAAGGCAGTTCTGACTCATAGCAACCCTGTATAGGGTTTCCATGGAGCAGCTGGTGGCTTTGAACTGCCAACCTTGTGTAATAATATTTTTTAAATCATAGATATAATTATAGGTATCTGCCTATCAAAGTCATATAGCTGAACTAGAGTTCTTAGGTTTAAATCCCAGTTCTAACACTAGAACTCAATGAACGTGGGTAAATTACATAACCTTTCCAGACTGTACTCCTAATGTATAAGAATCACAGATTAGTTATAAAAACTAAACAGAACAATATCTAAAAACTATTTACTTAGGCTCTGGTCCATAATAAATATTCAAAAATACTAGCTATAGTTATTAATATAAGTACCATGACTACACTTTTTAACAACATTCATAAAGGAAGAATTTAAAGAGAACTCATTTTAACAGAAGATAAATGCATCAAAATACCTCTAGGTGCTTAAGAAATATGCTCTCCAGGCAATCTCCTTTGTCATCATACAAAATTGCCTATATTAAAATAAGATGAATATTAAAGAAGAACATAATTCTACATTTCATAAACCTTTAATAGCAAATCAAGTATTACATAAATAAATCACATAATAATTACTTATTTTGTTTAATTTGTACATGACCGTGTATCCATTGCAAAAGTCTTTTCAGCATCTACTCAGCGCAAGAGAGCAAAGTCAAACATATAACAAAATGCAAGAACTTAATCCCTACCACAGGTATCTTAGAAAGATTTAGGAAGAAAATAGAAATAGAATGCGTTGAAACAGAAACTGAATGCATAGTTATTAAGTGCCACTGACTCACCATGGCCCCATGTGACAAAAGTAGAACTGTCCAATTGGTTTTTCTAGATTGTAATCTCTATGAAATCAGATCACCAGGTTTATATTCTACAGTCACTGGGTGGGATCAAAGTATCAACCTTTTGGTTAACAGCCAAGCACTTAACCATCAGAGAAGATGCATTATCCAAGTCTACTGCTTTAAAACTATTTCAACTTATGCTGTTGTTGCTGTTAAGGACCACCGAGTGAGTTCTGACTCATAAAGACTCTGTACAGTGTTTCCAAGGAAAAGCTGGTAGGTTTGAACTGTTGACCTTGTGGTTGACAGTCCAGTGCCAATCCTACAGCACCACACCATTTCAACTTACAGCAACTCTGAAAGATAGTGTAGAACTGCCCCATAGAGTTTCCATGGCTGCAATCTTTATGGGGAGTACTGGTGTGGTGCTATATGATAAGCACTAGACCACAAGGTCGGTTAGAACTGCAAGGTCAGCAATTCAAACTCACCAGTCACTCTTTGAAAATCCTATACAGGTTAACTAGGAATCAGAAATGACTCGATGGCAGTCATTCAAACAAAACAAGCGATAATTTGTGGTTTTAAATCAGCAAGGGTGTGTGCCAGGGTTGCATCCTTTCACCATACTTAAACATAACAATTGTGAGGGTGGCACAGGACCAGGCATGGTTTCGTTCTGTTGTGCATAGGGTTGCTGAGTGGGAGCTGACTCAATGGCACTAATAACAAAAGCACCCCTAGAACATTACCTAATCCATAACAGGTGCTCAAAACTTATTTATTGAATGAATGAATGAGTGAATCCATTCCAACAGCTTCAAACACAATCTAAATGCCAGTGACGCCTAATCTATAGTCAAAACTCTCTTCTGAGTTCCTGATCCATAGGGACAATACTACAGTTTTTCTATGAAGCTTCAAATACAGTATATTCAAAATATAACTCAAAATACAAAATATCAGTGTCCTGGAAGAACAATTAGACAGGTCTCAATGGGCTAAGTGGGACAGAGGTAAATAATGATATATGCATAACCTTGGAACAAGAGGGTTCTGGGATACAGAGATTGAGCCATGGTTGGAATGGGGAAAAGGGGGGAATAATGTTAAGATGCTTGGCTGTCTTTTGAATCTTGGTTTCCTTGCATTATATTATAAAATAGACACTGGAGAAGGAGAGAAAGGAATAGCCAA